CTAGTTTGTGCCCGAAAGCGGCCCTGGTGTAAGGTTGGAATGTTTGGTTGTGGAGATGAGGAAAAAGAAGCACTCAAAGAGTGATGTATGATCTTTTGAGTCGGTCTTGGTCCCTTTTATCACTAAATTGTATGCTGGATTTACAAAAATACCACCATGATAGAGATTTTGGTCATATTGGTTTCTAAAGTAGTGCAATTTGGTGAGAGCATGACACATTCACATCAAGTGGAGGTAGCCAAGCCATATAATTAATTCGGGAAGTTGGAAAAGCCAACTATACAAGTAATTATTTACTTATTTAGTGTTTTTATAACACGTGTTGGGCAAAAACAAAGACTATATAGTATTAGGGGAAACATCACATCAGTGATATGTATAAAAAAAATAATAATTATAAATTAGTGATAAGTTTTATAAATATTAATAATTATAATTATAATTATAATTTTTTTTATGAATTTGTAATTATTTATTGAGAAGTGGACTGAATTGTAATTTTTCTTAGTTATCATGGGATAAATTTCACAATTATTCCAGTGAAGAAACAAATTAACTTGCTTGGTTTCTGTTTTCTAAAAATACTTTTCGGAAAATTTTACTTTCTTATTTTTTGTGTTTTTTTTTACTGATTTTTTTAAATATTTTAAGTAATTTTTTACTTTTTAGACACATCTAACATAAATACACCTAAAAAGTAAAAAAATTATAAAAAAAATCTTTTAAAAATTCACTAAATACCAAAAATACAAAAAAAATATAAGAATTCAGTACATTTTTTGTATTTCTATATATTTATTAATTTTTTAAAATATTTTTTCACAAATTTTTGCTTTGTAGATACCTCTAAGTAAGGTGCATTTAAAAAAGTAAAAAAAAATGTTTAAAAATTTAAAAATATTCATTAAAAACAAAAAAACACAAAAATCAAAAAATTGAATTTTTAAAAAACTTAATCTAAAAAACTCAAACCAAACACACTGAATGTCATTTAAAAAACTCAAAACATCAAATACGGAATGATAAGCAACCCTAAGTGGTATGCTCCCCACATGTTCAACTCAGGTTTAATTCTTGTTGGCCCCTCTCATTTATTTGGATCATACGATTAAGAAAATGTCGCTTGATATTTAAGTTTACATTCCTAAAATAGACCCAATAAAATAAAATAAATGCTTAAGGATATACTTGTGTTGATAAAAATATTAATAAATAATCTACTATTCAAGCATGTGTTGAACTTCTGTGTTGCTTGAGTTTCGAAAGAGAAATGGAAGCTAAGGGTGTGTTTGGTAACGTTTACGTTTTCAGTTTATATTTACAAAAATTTTATAAACTGGTTTTTGTTTATTTTTTGTTTATTTTTAGAAAAACATAAACTGCAAACGCGTCCTTTTATCACTAAATTGTATGCTGGATTTACAAAAATACCACCATGATAGAGATTTTGGTCAGATTGGTTTCTAAAGTAGTGCAATTTGGTGAGAGCATGACACATTCGCATCAAGTGGAGGTAGCCAAGTCATATAATTAATTCCTTCATTTTATATGGGCAGTTGGAAAAGCCAACTATACAAGTAATTATTTACTTAGCCTCCGTTTGGGAAGTGAGTTGGCTTTTTGGCTTTTTGACTTTTTTAGCCTGGGCTTAAAAGCTTGGTTTGGGAAGGGCTTTTTAGCTTTTTTGAGTTTTTTTGTGAGAGAAGAATGTAATGATTATGGGTTGGATGTGATGTTTTGTTTGTTATGGCTAAAATAGCCTATTTTGTTTTTTGTGGCTAAAATAGTCAAAAAAGCCTGCAAACCCACTTGCCAAACATAGGCTAAAGTGTTTTTATAACACGTGTTGGGCAAAAACAAAGACTATATAGTATTAGGGGAAACATCACATCAGTGATATGTATAAAAAAAAATAATAATTACAAATTAGTGATAAGTTTTATAAATATTAATAATTATAATTATAATTTTTTTTTATGAATTTGTAATTATTTATTGAGAAGTGGACTGAATTGTAATTTTTCTTAGTTATCATGGGATAAATTTCACAATTATTCCAGTGAAGAAACAAATTAACTTGCTTGGTTTTAGTTTTCCAAAAACACTTTTCAAAAAATTTTATTTTTTTATTTTTCGTGTTTTTTTTTTACTGAATTTTTTTAATAGTTTAAACAATTTTTTTAATTTTTAGACACACCCAACATAAATACACATAAAAGTATAATTTTTGTGAAAAAATCTTTTACAAATTCACTAAATACCAAATACCAAAAATACAAAAGAATACAAGAATTCAGTGTATTTTTTGTATTTCTATATATTTATTAATTTTTTAAAATATTTTTTCACAAATTTTTTCTTTTTAGATACCTCTAAGTAAGGTGCATTTAAAAAAGTAAAAAAAATGTTTAAAATTTAAAAAATATTAACTAAAAACAAAAAAATATGATAATTTTTAAAAAACTTAATCTAAAAAACTAAAATTAAACACACTGAATGTCATTTGAAAAACTCAAAACATCAAGTACGGAATGATAAGCAACCCTAAGTGGTAGCCTAGGTAGTTAATGGGTATGCTCCCCACATGTTCAACTCAGGTTTGATTCTTATCAGCCTCTCTCATTTGTTTGGATCATACAATTAAGGAAATGTCGCTTGATATTTAAGTTTACATCCCTAAAAAAGACCCAATAAAATAAAATAAATGCTTAAGGATATACTTGTGTTGATAAAAATATTAATAAATAATCTACTATTCAAGCATGTGTTGAACTTGTGTGTTGCTTGAGTTTCGAGAGAGAAATGGGAGCTAAAAAATGAAGATTTTTTTTTTAAGATTGGGAGTTTAATATAGTAGCATAACATAATGCAGACGACCATTATAATGTATCATGATTAATAAGTGAAAATTAAAGAAGAAAATGGAGAGTAATGATGAAGCAAAAGTGGGGAAAAAAGGCACTAATGGCAGAGGACAAGGGTGTAATGTACAAGAAATGAGTAAGCAATTAGAATTTGGGGATACAAACGCACACCGTACTCGTATTTTCAGAGACAAAAGGGGAGGAAGGTAGCGTAGTCGGCAGGGCCACTCAAAAAATATATAATCATGGCAAGAATCCAATCATTCACACTTTCAACACCATAGACACCCCCACATATATTTATATACAATTTTAGAAAATTGGATTATATATATATATAATATTCTTGATAAATGAAAAATTATAAAATTAAATATGGGAATAGGGTGGGACTGCGTATCATATTAACGGGAGGACAAAATAAAAATAAAAATAAAAATTAGAGATAATAAAAGTTATAAGTGATGAGAATAAAAAAAAAATGTAACATGAAAATAAAAAAGTGAAAATAAATGTTATATATAATAGTTTAGTTTTTAATCTTATTATATTTAATAAAAATAATTGGGCGTGGAGAACACATGTGGGGCGAGGATACAAGGGTAGAAGAGAAATTGTCATGCATATGCAAAATACATTAGGTAAATCATAATTTGTTTATCTCATCTAAAGATGTGTTAAACGTTATCTTATACCGGTAAAAAATTTCACCAAGTTATTGGTTATGAGCACCATGTGGATAACGCCACATGGTTGTCCAAGACTATTAAATAATGGGTAAATTACAAATACACACTTTGAAATTTGTTTCAAGTACAAATTATTTCTTGTGATTTAAAAAATTACAAATATCTCCTTGTTAGTATTTTTTATTTAATAGAATTAACGAAAAAAATAAAATTTATAATTGCTTTCCTATATAATAATAAAATTACTTAAATTATTAATTGAAACATATTTCTAATATCGTTAAAAACTATTAATTGACTTGATAATTTATTAATAAAATAGGCAATTTGTTATGAAATTAGAAATATCAAGGGATGGAACATAATTTCTAAAATCACAGGGAGCGATTCGTATTTTAATCAAACCTTAGAGAGTATATTTGTAATTTACCCTTAAATAATTATCCTAATTTTACTGTACTTATTATCATATAAATTTTACATTATTTACCATATATATAGTTGCATACACATAAATAATAGTTACTCAATTGTCAAAAAACTATAAATAAAAAAAAATGAATGTTAAATGTTCAACATAAACAAGGTTTGTTGTGTTAGAATGAGTGAGCTGAAAAATGTATGAAATTCCCGAGAAAGTAATGTTATTTCCTATATAATAATAAAATTACTTAAATTATTAATTGAAACATATTTCTAATATCATTAAAAGCTATTAATTGACTTGATAATTTATTAATAAAATAGGCAATTTGTTATGAAATTAGAAATCTCAAGGGATGGAACATAATTTCTAAAATCACAGGGAGCGATTCGTATTTTAATCAAACCTTAGAGAGTATGTTTGTAATTTACCCTTAAATAATTATCCTAATTTTACTGTACTTATTATCATATAAATTTTACATTATTTACCATATATATAGTTGCATACACATAAATAATAGTTACTCAATTGTCAAAAAACTATAAATAAAAAAAAATGAATGTTAAATGTTCAACATAAACAAGGTTTGTTGTGTTAGAATGAGTGAGCTGAAAAATGTATGAAATTCCCGAGAAAGTAATGTTAGGGATTATGAAAAAAATGTCATGAAAGTAATTATGAAAGATTTTCTATCTTTGGATTATATATACAACAAATATTATACACTAATCAAAGAATGAAAAATTTTCATGATACATTTCATGATATTTTTTTCATTATCCTTAATATTATTCTTCTTGACAAATTAGTGAAAATATAAATATATAATATGTATATTGACAAGTTAAGTTAGTCAAGGCTTGTCTTCTCTCTCATGGGGGGCTCCATCCAGGAGAGGAGCGGTGACATTTGCCTGCCTGCCTTTCCCCACGTTGCTTATTATCACATGACGACCTACTTGCTGTTTGCTATAAATACAGCTCTTTTCCTTTCAACTCTCCCCCACCACCATCATTCATTCATTCATTCATCACTTTCATCTTCCTTTTCCATGGGCTTTCTCTTTCTCTATTCTTCATGATATGAATAAATATACACATATGTATATATCAGGTTTGTAACAAAAAGTACAGAAGAATCTATAAAGCTCAGGAGGGATAGCGCCATGGAATGGTGATGATTTTTTTCATCCTCTCTATAGCGCTATCTATCCTGAGTTTCATGGCTTTTTCATGCTTGTGCTCCTCTGTCCTCTGTAACGAAACGATTCATATGGTCACCATCTGGGTATGTATGCAATGTTAATTTCAGATTCTTCCTTTCTATATACTGCACTAACAGTAGTGTTTGAAATCTATAACTAACAAGTGAACTATGTAGCAGATGAAACAGTTATTTGATGACATTAGTGACACCAACGTGACGATGCCACATACACATTCTGATATTTGATTTATGCGGAACTCACATAGAACCTATATGGTCCTATAAAAATAAAGAGTTAAAATATGTTTATGACATTTATCACATAACATGTTGCTGATCTTGGATCCCCTTCTTCACATTCCACATTTCAGTTTCTACACTCTATATTTGTATTTTTCTAAGGCACAAAATAGAGTGTGCAAGAACAGGGTTTGTATGAAATGATGGTTCTTTAAAAAGCTTTGTCCAAGATGCAATTTTTTGTAATGTCTTTCTTTTTCTTTTCTTTTTTGTTTTATTTACAGATTTCTTCACAAATTTAAAATTCAATGAACACAATCTTCTTGCATAATATTATTCAAAACATATTACTGGTTAATTTTATGGTGGTTTCAAACTTGAAGTTATGTTTCCTGATTGTAACAACATATAAGTTTTTTTTAATTAATTAATTAATTTTTTTTTAAAATTTTAATTTGAAGTCAAAATCAAAGGATTTGTTCTGTTTGTCTTGGCATAATAACTATGGGCAGATTTGTATCATGCCTTTTTGTTTTATTTACAAATTTCTTCACAAATTTAAAATTCAATGAACACAATCTTCTTGCATAATATTATTCAAAACATATTACCGGTTAATTTTATGGTGGTTTCAAACTTGAAGTTATGTTTCCTGATTGTAACAACATATAAGTTTTTTTTAATTAATTAATTAATTTTTTTTTAAAATTTTAATTTGAAGTCAAAATCAAAGGATTTGTTCTGTTTGTCTTGGCATAATAACTATGGGCAGATTTGTATCATGCCTTGTTTGAAATAAGGATGAAGTAAACAACCATGGTCGAAATGGAAAATTTGACTAATAAAGAAAATGATTGAAGGTATAAATACATTCCAAAAGTTTATCTTCAGAGCCATCATTATGAGAAGTCGTTCTCCAATGAAAACATCTCATGTAAGAGGAAAGAGAGGTGTAAAAAGAAGTTTTATAATAGTGTATTCAGAAGCACCGAGGATCAAACCCTTTTGATGCGAAAACTAAATCAAACTATCAATGCCAAAGAAAGTGAAAGGAATCGTTGAGCGGATATCTGGCCCCACAGGCCTATTCTTAGAGAAGTTGCACGGAGTAATATTGTATACCAATAATCTTGAATCCATGACAACTTAATTTTGATACCACAGTTAATCGGTTCCATTAACTTTTCTAAAATCAACTGATGATGAAAAAGGTTTTAGTTAAGTCTTTTATAGCATCTGACATCTTATCCATCAAGCCAGGAATAGAATTAGAATTTCAACTACAAAAGGGCCAAGATATGAGAAAAAAATACTTTTATATATCCATTGTTATATACTATCATATTTCAATTTAATAATGCAAAATAACTAAGATCTAAAATTAAAATAATACAAAAAAATTATCATCTATTTAACACGATCAAAAAAGAAGTCATATCTACTCAATTTTAATATATAAATAAAAAAAAATCATCAGTTAATTGATTTTTTATATATGCTAACTCAATTATCTATTAAAGTGAAAGTCATTTTTTTTTTTTGTCAAAATTCAAAAATTTTCACTAAGTCTCATATGAATCTCATTAATATGATATCAATATCATTAGTGTGCCTCATCTGGTGATAAACAAATTGAGATAAAATAAATATAAATAATATATGAGAGGGTAATTTTTGGGAAAATTGGGCCGAGCTTCGAGTTGGGTTTTGAGGCCCAAAACGCAGAGGACTAGGTAAAAAGGCCGTACAGAATACTCCGGCCCAGAAGGGCAAAGTTACTCCGGCCCTGGGAAGACAAAGTTACTTCGGCCCAAGGAGGTGAAATTACTCCGGCTTAAGAAGAGATCGTTACTTCGGCCCAAGGAAGAGTAAAATTACTCCGGTCTGGAGGCAACTCACAGTTAGGCCGGTCTCAGAGTTAGTCCGGTCGCAGTATGTTCTGGGAAGGCCGGTGTCGGAATTAGTCCGGTCGTGACTTACAATGGTTAGGTCGGTCAGGCTTACATAAGGTAGGAGCGACAAGGACCGTTTGAAATAATAAAAAAAACTTTGGACAACATAACATTATTTGCTTTGAACAGGGGGTCATGGCGCCTCACTGTCTGCAAATAGTTCCGTCCTTGTCCCAAGCCCATTTTAGAGCAACTATCAATAGGGAGGAGGTACAAATGACTTTTAGGGACTGGGTTAATAGTTAAAAGTCAAAAGTTAAATTTTAATTTATTTTGGGTTATATCATTTCTTATAATTTTTTATATATTTTTAAAAAAATGTCAAAAAAAGTTAAACAATTAACTGTTAACCATTTTCTCAAAATAAGCCAAAAACTAAACGGGTGTATTTAAAAAGTTTCTAAAATATGTTCTAATGTTAAGACCAAGATCAATTTTTTGGGGGGAACTGACCCAAACGTCCAAGCCCAACATATCACGCCCCATTTAGACCCAAAACAAATTCAATACTCTATTAAGTCCTCAAATTAGCAATCAGACGAAAATACCCTCGTATATCATCCAATTTACACGCGCGCAACCTCCACCCATGATCATCTCACACTAGTCTGACTAGTATACTATCACATCTCTGCCCCCTTAGGGGGCTTGAATTAAGGGAGTCGAAGCACTTTGGTGCTTTGCCAAGGGTGAAGAGATTTTCTCCCAAAGAAGCTAATCTAACACTGTCACATCTCCACCGCTCAACTTCCGATTCTTTTGTACAGAGAAACTTGTTTTATTAGGAAACATAAAATTTTCAATATGCTTACATAAGGTAGGAGCAACAAGGACCGTTTGAAATAATAAAAAAAACTTTGGACAACATAACATTATTTCCTTTGAACAGGGGGTCATGGCGCCTCACTGTCTGCAAATAGTTCCGTCCTTGTCCCAAGCCCATTTTAGAGCAACTATCAATAGGGAGGATGTACAAATGACTTTTAGGGACTGGGTTAATAGTTAAAAGTCAAAAGTCAAATTTTAATTTATTTTGGATTATATCATTTCTTATAATTTTTATATATTTTTAAAAAAATGTCAAAAAAAGTTAAACAATTAACTGTTAACCATTTTCTCAAAATAAGCCAAAAACTAAACGGGTGTATTTAAAAAGTTTCTAAAATATGTTCTAATGTTAAGACCAAGATCAATTTTTTGGGGGGAACTGACCCAAACGTCCAAGCCCAACATATCACGCCCCATTTAGACCCAAAACAAATTCAATACTCTATTAAGTCCTCAAATTAGCAATCAGACGAAAATACCCTCGTATATCATCCAATTTACACGCGCGCAACCTCCACCCATGATCATCTCACACTAGTCTGACTAGTATACTATCACATCTCTGCCCCCTTAGGGGGCTTGAATTAAGGGAGTCGAAGCACTTTGGTGCTTTGCCAAGGGTGAAGAGATTTTCTCCCAAAGAAGCTAATCTAACACTGTCACATCTCCACCGCTCAACTCTACATTCTCAGTCCTCCATCTCTCCATCGTTTGACTCCACTACCTCTAAAACCCTACCCTAACCACAAAACGAAGCCGTTCATCTTCTCCAATCGTCGACTCTCAACAACACAACACGAAGTCGTTCATCTTCTCCAATCAACAACTTTCAACAACACGAAGAACCATTACGACTTTGAAGAAATTTCATAGTTTTTGACTTCCGATTCACAAAAATGGGGGAAAAAAAGTAAAATCTCTTTTCACCTTTTATTTTTCATTCATATTTGTACATTATTCTTTGATATGCTATATATATCATACTATTTCAATAACACTTTCATAAAAAAATCCTTGTTACATACTTCAAAATGTATAAACCCTATTTTACATATTCTACCTACGATTCTAGATCTCTTTTTCGTTTTATTCTTACTTAGATTATATAATCCCTTGTTTTTACACATTCTAATTATATAATCCACTATTTTTACACATTCTAGTTATATTTAATTCCCTATTTTTACACATAATCTCTGTTTTTACACATTCAACCTCTTATTCTGATTCTTGTTGTTGTTGCTTCTTCTTCTTGTTAAATATTGATTTTTCTTCTTCTTATTGTTGCTACATTTCGTTGAATACTTCATCTTCTTGTTGTTATTGTTATTGTTTACAAAATACAATGGACTGTTCTTATTGTTGCTAGTGTTTATAGAACTGAAACATCATACAATTTCATTACTCTACAAGTAAATATCTAAATTTATTCAAACTGCAAATGAAACTGCAAAATTATATAGTTTAATTACTATTCAAAACAAATAGGTAAACTTATTATAAAGTGCAAATTAAACTGCCAAATTATACAATTTTGTAACTATTAACAACAAATAGATATAACTTAATATTAAATTGCATATAAAACTGTAAAATTATACAGTTTTGTAACTATTAACAACAAATAGATATAATTAATATTAAATTGCATATAAAACTTCAAAATTATACAGTTTTGTCACTATATTACTCATGTTCTATTGTTGCTTTCATTTTTTCAGAAATAGCTATTGGAAGATATTGGAAGAAGCAAACCAATATGCTCAAAGATCCAATCAAGGATTTAAGTGTCTCCCCTTTTGACACTCCTTCACCTATATCCACTGACATGCCACCATCTCCCCTTCCACAAAAAACCCAACCACCACAACCAAAAAAACCCACAAAGCAATCACATTATTACCTACAAGAAAAAGCCCAAGAACTACACCACAGATCACACCCACACAACAAACACCAACCATACCTCCAACCACAAAAAAACAAACAAAAGAAAGCCAACAACAAAAAAAAAAAGCTCCTCCAACAAAAAAAAGAAGAAGAGAAAGCTCCAAGAAAGCCAATCAAGTCCCCGAAACACAAACCAAGGCATCAAAAGGGAAAAAAGGAGTAGTCCCTGCAAAGAGAGTCCAATAGTTTAATTACTGTTCCAACATCGAAATGGTAATCAAACTGTTCAAGGGGGTCAAATTCACAACAGCCCAAAAGACAGAGCTGTAAAAAACCCCTTTTTGGGCCATTATAACGGCTCTCTCCTCAACGTAACTGAAGGCCTCTTGATGCAGATGTTACAATTCCATCGTAGCAGAAATGACAATGCTCTACAACCAAAAAAAAAAAAAAAAGAGCATTTATACTTAGCAAAAAGAAAATGAAACTCAGAAACAATGATGTAAGACTCATTTTTGGTATCGACTGTGGAGAAAATAGCATCACCACCAAATCTTATGTAAGGCCAAAGGATTT